GAGCCTTGCTTCCCTTCCTTTCACTCTTTTTTTCTTCCGGCGTCTGTCATCCTTGAAGTACACCAAAAAACAGTATGATTGGGTGGTTTGATACTTTTTTCTTAAAAACAGGCAAAAATTGATGGATGTCATCCATATAATCAAGTCAGTGTGGCCTCGCCATTTAAATCTATTACTGATGTCTCCTTTGAGAGCATTATTCTGATAATGACCTGATGTTTTGTTCTCAGATCATTGCTGAAGGTGCCAATGGGCCGTGCACCCCCGAGGCAGACAAGGTCTTCCTGGCCAATGACCAGCTGGTTATTCCGGTAAGTCGGCTTAACAGTGCACACCCCGGTTCTTTTCACACAAAATTTTAGTTCTAGCATTTTCTTTTTAATTTATTCGAATACAGTCAAGGGTTCTGTTTTTTTTCAAACTCCAGTCATTTCTGCTGGGAATTTTTTTTCAATAGGATTATCATATGCTTTGCGAAAATTCCCAAAGTGTTGGTTTGCCTGTTTTACCAAAGTAGAATAGGTTGAAGAAACAAAACTTGGACTTGTAGCTGAAGGGATATCCTTCCATCCCACATACAGTAACTGTTATTTTTCTTCTGAAGTATTTCCTGGAAAAGACGGTCCCTAGAGCTAGACTTGAGGGTGTGCCCCCTTATATATAGATCTGTGATTGTTGATTCATGAAGTAGACACTAAATGCTGGAGCATGTTCATTGCAAACCTTCCTTTTCTTTTTGAATAGCACTTAAAATGTTAACTTTCCACCTGGAAAAGCTGAAATGGGTTAGGAAAAATGAATCTATTTAAGCTTATTGTGGTGTCCAGTATATACTTACATGATGAAGTTGTGGTATACAATATAGTACTCTAAAGCACGTCGGCAGAACATACTGCACCTGCGCGAAACCCGTAATGTATTGTACATAGCAGTTTGGCAGAACGTCTCATATAAGGTTGTATTTGCTCATATAAGGTTAGCATTTCGACAGTAGTTTCCAAATGTTGTGTCGGAAAGAATATCCTCTGCAACAGGCAAAATTCTGATGCAACGTTAACCAAAAACCCAATGAAAAACGCAAAAATATGGGGTTCTGCGCAGGCGCAGTACGTTCTGCCGACGTGCTGTACTCTAACTGGTTGAGTATCATTTTATTAAAGCCTTCTCACTCATACAGGACCTGTACCTGAATGCTGGTGGTGTGACTGTCTCATATTTCGAGTGGTTGAAGAACCTGAACCATGTCAGCTATGGCCGCCTCACCTTCAAGTGGGAGAGAGAATCCAACTACCATCTACTAGGTGGGGATTTCTTCTTTGCTTTCCTACTAGTATTTAAACAACAAGAGTCTGTAGGACACAATCCTCCATGAAGTACATATAGAATACAACACGGGGTATTCCGTATCGCCCGAGGTATCGGCCCGACCGCGGGTCGGATCCGACTCGCGGGAGGGCCGGGACCGAGGGCGATGCGGAATACACCGTGTTGTATTTTATTTATGTCATACCCACCCAAGAAAATACGCCTTTCAATGCAAGATGAGCCAAAAAAGTTGATGCCACTTGTCCATAAAATGTAACAACATCAATTCCAACGTCCGGATTCTGTATTCGAATTTTCGAAAGGGGCACTCGCGGTTAGGGCGAATCGCGTTTGAATCGTTTTATGGAAGCCATGGGAGCATTCGATAACGGGTTCCGTACCGGGCCGTACCGTAAAGTACGGCCCGGTCCGGAACCCGTTATCGAACGTTATCGCGGCCCGGGTATGATATAAATGTAATTATTGTATGATGAAAATTTAACTAGACACAGCACTCGGTTCAGAAAGCTGATGAAGATCGAGTGATTCAGTCGAAAATTCCTGGTGAGCTACTTTTCTTGAGTTGGAGAACACTAATTTTCATTATGTATTTTATCAATTAAGATGAACTTACATGTACGTGCTAATGTGATTATGGTGTTTGTGGTGTGACTAAGGTGCTTGAAGACCTCTTTAAATACTGATGCCAAATTTCAGACAAATCCATTAAAAGGACACAGACCAAGAAAAAAACAAATGGTTCAAAGTATGCAAGTCTCGTATAAGCAAAATAGGTTATTGTACCATCTGCTCAGGAATTATGTTCATGAGGCCATGCAGACCACAGTAATACCTGGTAGTAATGTTTCAGTTTCATCTTAAACAGTCAACAAATGTAATTAAAACAAAATTGTTTAGTAAAGAACCTGCTTATTCAGTCTCTTGCCAACCCATTGAAACTAATCACAGAAGTTTTCCTTGTGTTGTGAAACTGTGATGTGAGACCTGATGTTGTGTTGTTTGGTTGTGTCCCTTGCAGAGAGTGTGCAGGAGAGTTTGGAGAGGAAGTTTGGGAAGATGGGCGGACGCATCCCGGTCACCCCGTCAGCTGACTTCCAGAACAGGATTGCTGTACGTTCCCCCTTCTGCTTTTTTAATGTTTTTTGCTAAATCTTTGAAAGGGTGGCGTCGAATGGCCAAGTGGTTATAGAGGACACGAGACTGAGAGGTCACGGGTTCGTTTCCTGGCAACATGGTTGTGTCCTTTTGAAAGGCACATAAAACGATACTCCTTGAAAGAATCCTCTAGTAACTGATATTCCTCAGGGTACCGGACTTTGGTTTGGGAGTTACATTGTACAAGATGGTGGAAGGAGAAGGTTGGGCTCTGCCTTCTAATATATTGCCCTACACATAGTGGATTAACAACATACTGCCCCTATGTCCTGAAAAGGCAATGCGACTACTTTTTTATATCTTGGAAGGAGAGCTACAGGAGTAGCATTAAAGATTACAATAAGTTAAGGATATTCTGAACATTCTAAACTTGCTGCTATACATTCCCTACAAAATGGGTTCTTGGTTTCATGTAATATTCAATTCTTGACTTTTTTGAAGATATTCTGAACATTTCAAACTTGCTGCTATTTATACATTCCCTACAGAATAGATTGTTGGTTTCATGTAATGTTCAATTCTTGACTTTTTTGAAGATATTCTGAACATTTCAAACTTGCTGCTATACATTCCCTACAGAATAGATTGTTGGTTTCATGTAATGTTCAATTGTTGACTCTCTAGTGTTTCCAATGAGTTCTTGTTTTTTGTTCAGGGTGCCTCTGAGAAGGACATTGTGCACTCAGGACTGAGCTACACCATGGAGCGCTCTGCCAGGGTAAGTATTTTGTTATTTAATAAGTGCTTCCTACATGCCCCTCCACAGATAAGCAAAAACATTTCTGCTTTGATATTACACTTTCTGTATTGACGGCAGAAATATGTTTGATGTGTTTTTCTACATCCTGTTATCAGTTCCAAAACATTTTTCCCAATTTACTTTCAGAATCATATAGTATTACACAATCTTGCATGAGAGTTCTATAAAAAAAAATTGTCTTGTTGCCAAGTAAAATGGCCGACCCTTAAAAGCTTTTTAGAAGATTTTTTCTGACCGAAAAGATTAAAGAAAGAGGATTTAGTCCTCACAGATACACAAACTGGTTCCATAGCCAGGCGGTGCTAAAGTTTGGTGGCAGTTCACTACATAATAGTAGAAATCTCTTTGCATTTGACATGTGCCTTTCTGCAAACCCGTGTAGTCACTTTTT